GGGTACCCATCACAGACCGTGACAGAGAACCCCGATACCCATCACAGACCGTGACAGAGAATCCAGGGTACCCATCACAGACCGTGACAGAGAAGCTGTAGTTGTAAAGGATCAGATAAACGGCTAACTATAAATGTGTCGCAACGGAATGGAACAAAAGGATTTCTATTTAATTAGTAACAATAGATTCATCGTGTTTCACATTTTTAATCCCGCAAGGGATTGCGCTAACAGCTTTTTTAAATATTAAATATAATTTAAATCGATTAAATTCGGTTCTATTGAGTATCTAAATTTAAATCTGAAAGAGTTTAAATAAAAAATGTATCAAGAAAAGACCACATTAATTGGACATGGGCACCAAAGAAATAATAATTTTCAATTCAGTGGAATGGAAACTGAAAATCTAATTTAGTAAGTTTACGCGGACTCTAAATGACAGTAGAATAAACATTTATATCATCAGATTATTTTAGTTGAATGGTTTGTATATATGTCTTATACTCCTATGTTCTCGTGTTCGAATCCGTGTCTTGACTGCATCAAAATTCATGTAAGTTATAGTTCTGAAGGCCTATGCAAAAATGTAAACGAGTATATAAAGTGTACCTGCAATTTAAGATCTATGAAATCATTGACGGTTTTCAGTTTTTTTTCCATCTAGAATATATGATACCACAGCAAGGGGGAAATAGCGTACTCCAGGACTCCAGGACTCCATTGGACTCCATTGGACTCCATTGGACTCCAATGGACTCCAGTCTTGTCTGAAGTCCAGCAATCCAAGCTATGATAAAATCTGCTGCTTATTGCCTTCAGCTATCGGAAATAAAAAACAGACTATGCATTAACTGTCGATTAAAAATTTCCTTGTTTTACCATCACAATCTTTTGTAAATGCTTCATAGCGTCTGATAAAGTGTAAAAATATGAAAAAAATATAAATATGAAAACAATTAACGAATGACAAATTTTTAAAAATAATAAGAAAATTGTAAAGTTAAAAAAATCCAGCTTCATAAGAAGACTATACTGTATGATATACTATGAAAGAAGTAAAACGAGAAGTATAAACAGGAAAATGTTCCTAAGGTAAATATTATTGTCTTCTCGTTCTTTTTACAACTTCTTTCGTATTATAAGATGATTCTACTGAATGAAGCTTTCTTTTCGCTCTACTTTTACTTTTTAATAATGGCGAAGGTTGTTCAAGACTTTCATGATCATCGGTTGTTATAGAGGTAGACGTAGAATTAAGTAATATCGCATTTGATGATGATTCGTGATCTGGTGTAGTATCTGATGATGATTCGTGATCTGGTGCAGTATCTGATGATGTAAATGATTGTTGATTATCTGATGATGATTCTTGATCTGGTAAAGTATCTGAACATGTAAAAGATTGTTGATTATCTGCAGTTATTGATGAAATCAGCTTACAATTTTTTATTAATTCTTTCATTTTATCACATGTATTATTATTACGAAAATCTTGTAAATGCCTGTAAAAGTTTGATAGTTGAAATTTGCCACGATTATTTGTTAATGATATCCATTTGTTACAACAACATTTTATATTAGCTTTTAATACACCACTTGCATCATTTAATATGGAAATAGAGTAATGTTGACCTTCAATCAAGGACAAATTTGACAAATTAAGTCTTGATTCATTATTTTTACACCAATTGTTCAATGTATTATTTATATAAGTTTTATGTTCATCGAGTGATAAGTTTAAAGATTTTGATGTGACAATGTTTGATGAATTACTCGATAAAACCGCCATTGTTGATTCTGTGGTAGTTGAGGATGTGTTTATGGTTCTATCTAATGGTGGTGATGATTGATTACGTTTTGAAGATTTTGTTAACTTTGCATCATCAGTACATTTTTGTTTTAATAAATCAATAAGATAGTCCACATTTCCTTTTATACCAGGTTTTATAATGAATATATCATCATCAAGCATAAAACCATGCTTATTTTTAAAACAATCTAAAGCTTTGCTTTTCAAATTCATAATACAATAAACATCAGCTGTCATCAACAAAGATTTAACACAATTGATACTTTGAATTTCAAAAAGATCAACAGCAGCATCACCAGCTTCTTTTCGAACAAAATCAAAAAATTTAACGTCACGTAATGACATGATATCAGATGGCAAAATTGATGTATCAATAAGAGCTTCTGTTTGAAACATATTTAAATATTAACTATATTTGTATAAATAAAATTCTCTCTCTCTCGAGAGCGAGCAAGCGAGAAAGGTTTAATGATTCATGAATATTATGAGCCAATAGCTTCTAAAGTGATGTTCTCTATACAAGCGTAACTAGTACTTTTCAATTTTTTGTAACATTCCATTCTTTCAAATGATGGATGTTTTCTTCAGATTACCGATATGTGACTCATCACAGTTGTTTATCAGCTGGAAGTGTTTGAAAAATATGTCAGATTTTTGTTTCCAAACTTATTATAAACTATTATGTCTGAACACATTTGGTTTTCTAGATAAAAAATCGATCGTTTTCTTCTTATGGATGATAGATTGCCAGAGAATGTTTTTTCTTTAAAGAACGATGATTTTTATGAATTTATTCAAGTATTAGTTGGACAACAAATGGTGGATATTCTAAAATTCCAATCAATTACATCTACACAATCTCTTATTCGAAACCCGAATATCTTTGAAATATTTAATATGAATTGTTCGGAATCTAGTTTCTTAATGATAAGAGAAAGATCATGTTTTCAACTTGATAATGGAACATTTATTGTGAAGATTGGGTTAATAAATAATTTGAATTGTTTATTAGAATTTTTAAAGCAACAGCAACAAAAACAAATTAAAACAAGTAGTAATGCAGATTCTAATCCCAGTTTATCATTTGATTTTATAAATAAATATCCATTGTTAAAAAAATTAATTATTTGGTATCAACGAGTTAGCAATGAAAATGAAGCTGATGAAAATAAAGATAAATTTTTAAACCATTTTATTGATACTATCACTGATAATTTGACAAAATCGAAAAATAATTTTCGATATAGTAATTCGATTAAGAATTTTGCTTTATCGTTGTATATTTTAGGTGGTAAATTGACCTATGAATTTCTTAGATTAAATTTACCTGGATCTTTACCACATCTATCTTTATTAAATTCATTGATTTCAAGTTCAGATTCAAGAATCAGTGAAGGAGAATTTAGATTCGATCAACTTCAAAAACATTTTGATAGTCTTAATGTGCAATATGCATTCGGCTCTGAAGATTGTACTGGTATAGTTAAAAGAATTAAATATGATTCAACAACAAATACATTTACTGGATTTCCTTCATTACTTGATCGTGGAGTGCCAATTAAATCATATTATCAGACTGACTCATTTGATGCATTAAAATTATGGTTCAATTCAATTGATAAAGCATCGTTATTGAATCTACATATGATTCAGCCAGTGCAATCCACAGATAATAGCAGCATACCAAGTCCTTATCTATTATCAGCATATGGAATTGACAATACTGCAACCGCGAACGATATATTACAGAGATGGTGGTATATATTTAATCAATCCTTACAAAGAAATATCAGAATCATTGGTTTTTCTACTGGTGAGACAATTTTTTTTTCAAATTTTATTAAAGAATAACTGCGTTTTTTTATAGACGCGGATCCAAAGTATCTACGTGCTATGCGTTTAATGAGCGGTTTTCTTGGAGCTCTTCCGAATTTTCAAGTTCACCAGCACCCACAAGCATTTCAAATAAAAATAAGATCACACTGGTCTTGGTTTTATCTTCGTGAACAACAATTATTATTATTTTTTCAAGATCCGACACATTTGGTAACCAAATGGCGTAATCGTTTATTATCAGCAACAGCAGAATTATGTCTCGGAAATCAGTCAATATCGATCAATCATTTGCATGATATTATTGAAAATGATACTTATTCTAAACTTGATCATGGTCTAACAAAATCTGACATTAACCCTAAAGATCGTCAAAACTTTAGTTCTTGTTTGAAATTAACATCTAATGATCTATTCAATATTTTAAATGCTACTGCTGATACTCGTGGAACCTTGCTTTATTTTCAAGTGTTAAAAATGATTATAGTAGCTTATATTGAAAAAACAACAACAATAGTTGAAAGTGAGTACTTATACACGCTAGATCACATATAATAAGATTTTATTGTAGGACTACGATCTGCTTGGTGTGTAGTGTTTTTTTGTCGACTATGGTTTACCTGGATTAAATTTAAAACATTTAATTTAACACAAACCAGAAACAATAATAAAAGCAGATATTTTATTACACAACCAGCATATTTATCGGTTGAAATAAATGCTCATAATTTATTATATTTAATTTTACTTGTCAAACAAAAGCAGTTACCACCACAAGCATTGAATATTCCTATTTTTAACTCGCAAGCTTGTGAATCAATTTTTAGAAATACACGAGCGTTAAGTGGAATTTATTCAACCATAGTCAACTTTACAGCACATGATTTTCTACGACGTGCCCAAAGATTATCATTATTGAATGACATTAAATGTAAACAGTTACATAGTGGTTCAGTTGACAAGTTAGTCTTTCCGGTTCATTATAAACATCGGGTTGAACGTCAATCATCATTTACACACAGTCAACTTGAAATTGATGAAATAGATATCGAACGAGTTATTACTGATGCCTATCATCATGCTGTTGATATGCTTGAAGGTCTAGATATATTGAACTTATTGGAAAAAAAACATGTTCTTGGATTAAAACCATTAAGTGAATATTTATTTCGACAATTAAATTCCAATTCACAAAAACATAATTACTCTTCTCAAATAAGCAATATAGACGATGAAGTATTTGAAAGTGACGATGATAATGATGAAGATGGAGATGACACAACAAATGATCTCAGCATGAATGAGGACAATGATGATAGCTCTATTAACAACGATTACACTGATGAAGATGAACAAAATAACACTCAAGATTTAATAAATACTACAAAGAAAGACTTCTCTGGAGTAAAAGTTGCTGATAAAGTGGAGCCTCATATTGAACATACCTATTTTAAAGTGAAATTAAATCATGATACAAAATTTTTACACAAACAAACTGCTTGTTGGTTGTTAACAGAAGAGAAAAGTAAACTTTCAAATGACCGATTACTTCGCGTGCAACAGGTCAATAAATGATAATATAAATGGTTTTTTCTTTTTTTTTATAGTATTTGTTTGATTTTTTTCAATAAAGGGTATATTTTGTTGAATTTAAAATTTTTTTATTCATTAAAGGTGTTGTATATGGGTGGTGCACAGATACTGTGCGAACATCTCAAAAGTGGAGCCAGTATAAGTTTAATTCTATGTAACAGGTGATGAAAAGTAAAACCAATATACAGCAGTATTACATGTCTATAATATACTTGTGAAGTGCTCTCCAGAATTTCAAACGACTCCACTGGACTCCATTGGACTCCATTGGACTCCATTGGACTCCACTGGACTTCACTGGACTCCATTGGATTGGAGTCCGCTATTTCCCCCTTGTACCACAGTTTGAGAAACGCTGCAAAATCTTTCACAAAAACAATCGTTACACAGCGTTTGTTTTAGCAGATGTGAAACGCGTCAAACCGGTCAGCATTAACGCGTTTTGCAGCTATGGAAAAATGCGTTTTCAGAACGCGTTTTTTTCGCAGAAATTTACACCATGGGCACTGACTTTGGATTACCGGAACAAAAATTTGTAGTAACGCGATCTGACAACCCACAGGACATTCAAATTATTGCACCTTCAGTCATGTGGATGAAAGAAA